ATATATATATATATATATATATATATATATTCCATACATATATATTAAATAAACAAATAGTACGATACATAAATATAGAGAGAGGAAGAGAAAGAAGGAAGAGACGAGGAAGGAATACGAAAGAAAGACAATGAGATCGACAGATGAATACAGATAGAAAGAGATTTAATTTAAATTTGGTGTCATTCCATAATATCTGCGCTTAATAACTTTCAATATGACAGTGAAGTTGTTCCACTTAAATTGAAGAAAAATATAATATCAAGTTTCTAAAACTAATCGGCATAACGGAAAAGATTTCATATTGATTATTGATGAGGTCTCATATTTCATATGATTTTTCAAAACACGATCATGTTTCTAATTTTGGCCATCACAATTTCTCTTTATGAACGGTTATGAACTAGAGAGGGCGTGCTTCATTAATACGAACTCTTCTGTCTGTCTCTCCTTTATGGTTTCATATGTTATTTTTCTACCTTTCTTTAATTTTGTAATATTAATTTTTATACAGTCGATTGTTATTTATTTTGTTTGTTAAATTTTACCCTTTTTTGTTTGTACGAACGCACCAATTGATATTGAGTGCCACTGATTCAAAGGTGTATGTTCAAATAAATAAATAAATAAATAAATAAAGTGACTATAATTTGCTCTCCGGCAATAGTCCTACTATTTTACTACTGATTATAACAGGGAGGGCTTTGAAAAATTCTTTTTAATGTTATGTTGCGAGCGATAAACGGAAGATGACAAGTGATATCGAAAGCACCTAAAACACATGTCCGACATAAAATACCAATGATAGTTATTTAAACGACAGATCAAAGGGACCGATATAAATCTTGGAGACAAATAGGAATTTGGTATAGCAACAATGTCAAAACCGTACTAAGTAGGCCTACACTCAAGATTTACACTCAGTAGGTGTCTGACGAGAGAGGACAGCAGAGAAAAACGTTTAACACACCGCTGTAGAACTAGGTCTTTTAGGCTATACTTCTATTTAATGAATACGGGACGTAGGCGCACTACCTGCCTGTAATTCCATTTACCGTTTCAAAACCAACTACATAGGCCTACTGATGGGCCAACTTTTGTTTACAACTAAGTATATTATATAATATGCATGCGATTGTCACACATGTATATTATTATTATTATTATTATTGTTATTATTATTATTATTATTATTATTATTATTATTATTATCATTATTATTATTATTATTATTATTATTATTATTATTATTATTATTATTATTATTATTATTATCATTACTATTATTATCGTTATTAGGGCCTATTATTATTATTATTATTATTATTATTATTATTATTATTATTATTATTATCATCATCATTATCATTAGTGACTGTCATCATTATCTTTTTCAATTCCTTTGGCCACCAGTCCATAGAAAATGTGCCATCGTAAAAGATAAAAAAGAGGGCAGCCTTCCTGTTCGATAGACAACCATGAAACAATTTGGATAAATCACTTCGAATATTAACATTTCTAAATAATAAGATCAATACAAGATTGGAATATTTTTTTATATAGAAAAAAAAAGTATCAGCGCGACGACTCTCTCTCATCCTTATAAAAAAGGGCAAACAAAGCAAACATGGAAAATATCAATTTTCCATCTTCCATCAATGCAAGGTACAGAGTTTAGCCTCCTACATTGTTTACCTACGCTAACTTCTTTATTTCTATCAATGACATTGAGTTGATGCGACCCGTTTCTGAATAATGTGACACATCTTCTATGTTTAAAATTACTAATTCTCTTAATATAAACATTATCATTTATTTCGACAAAAAAGCGCATATTTAAGGAAATTTCACTATTATTTCACTATGTAAGTCAACGTTTTCAGCTTCTTGTTTAAGCATATCGAAAACCGAATTTAAATAAAATACCTTTTCATGCTGTGCCAATTTACAGATACATAACGATACAACATAACACTTTTAGGACAATCTATCAAAATTAATTTGAACACTTTTAACCAAAAGGGGATCATGTTTATATTATTTGGGTAATGCTCAAGTTTTACCATAGATCTGAGATTACTATGACAAAATGGAATCCAGAGTAGGCCTACATATAGCCTATAGCGGGGGCCATATACATATGGCCTACTATACTAATAGGCCTACTATTATCTTTTAAAAATATCTATCACTTAAAAAAGGGGAAAGGTTAGGCCTACAACCGTCATCATTTGAATTGATTATTTATTCTACTTCTACACACAACAATTTCATAATGAAACACAAAATAACAAGTAAAAATGACAAGGATTGTCAAAAGCGAATTTAATCATCATTTATTATTAATATTATTTAAATCATGCTAATTCCAATTTGAAAAGTGTACAGGTCAAAAAAATTAGTATATGCTGCCCTCATCGTGTACTCATTACCATTGACCTAGGGTCAAATAGTGGGGATTCCCCAACTTCTAAGCGTCTGCCATAAACAAGGTATGTTTACTTACTGTATTCGTACGTTTTTCATGGAATCTATGTTATAAATAGCTCATTTTTTGAACGCTAGTGTATTAGCACCAATTCTTGTTACTATTGGTTACAAATTGAACAACATAGAATTGTACTTGCTTTGGTGAGACTCGCTGCTGAAAACTTAACTACAGGACAATGATTTAAAATCAGAATATCACTGCAGCAGGCAGGTCATCTCCAACATTCTACACATCATACATAGATACATTTTCATTATTATTTCAGATATAGTATTGTATCAATATCAACATAAATTGGGCTAGATGGGCCTATCTAACAATGAAGTACTGTGTCACGATGAGCAGACGGCACTCATGAGGAAAGTAGAGCTTGGCACAGGTTCAAATATTTTTACACAAGGATGATATGGAGTACTTGAGTAAAGTGAATTAAGGCAGGCTAAATAGGCAAGGCTACAGAAACTAGGTAAGCTAGAATTGGGTCCTCGTGTGGGAATGTACTAATATGTCTGCCTCAGCTCATGATGATGCCTGTTCTTTTGGAAAACTGTGGACTAGACAAAGCTAATACAAAGTGAAATAGTAAGCAGATCAACGAGTTGACTATTTACGTAAACTAGCAATCCGGCGTAAGCATAGCCACTATATAATGCTTACGCCGGCCCTGTGCATGCTCAGTAATAGATCGGCGTAAAGCATAGCCTCGAAATAATGCTTACGTCACCCCTGCGCATGCTCAATAGATCGACGTAAGCATAGCCTATGACTAATGCTTACGACTCGGCGTAAGCATAGACACTTCGTATAATATATACGACAGGACGTTAGATATTGGTCTGGACTCTGCTGGTATACTGTGACCCCGCGACGTTTGAGAGCCAAATTGGGCCATATTTTCGCTTGTTGTAGTTCACAATTTGTCTGATTTTACTTCGCTGTCAACTTAATGACAATTTAATACACTTTTGCATTTAAATTAATTAAGGACATTCTTCCCACATGCCGTGATTAATATAACAAAACTAAAGCTTAAGGGTTGGGGGCCAAGCCAGCTCCACCAATCAATACCTCAGATTTACATATGGTTGTCGGAACAGTATCCATTGCATTTAAAATTTACTGCATTTTGATTTTTCAGGGGAACGCCAATGTGGTCATATCCTTGATTGAACACCAACTCTGTTGCTTGCACTTGATGGCTGGAATGACACTCAGATTATCATGACAATGCAGAAAGAGGTTGGCTTAATTTTTTGGTGGCTATCTGTTTCATTTTTTGAGTGGAGCCATTAAGTGGGATTCTCACTTTCAGATCGTATTCCTATCCATTCCTGTTCAGAAAAACTTTGGTCAACTCCACTTCATATTATAACTTTATAATGTAATTTTTTTAAAGATCAATCTTAAACTAAAGTCTTTATTATTAATTTCTCAGAAACTGTTTAAAACATTATTTACTGAAATAAACAAAGGCTCCAGCCACTTGATGCACACATTTCGTGCAGAAAAATGAGAAATTATAGATATTTATTTCCAAAAAATTCAGCTTTAGCCCAGTCTTAAGAAAATGTTATTTTTAAGATTATTGATTACTGAAATTTCATAGTCTTTTAATTTGTATTTTCAAGAATGGTTCTAAAATTCATCACACACATTAATTTCATTCCCTGTTTCAATTCCAGGTCTATACAAATGTACTGGCTGAGGTAAACCCAGAATTCATACCTGACAATTTTGACAATTTAGTCAAATTTATTGAGAAGGATTTTGGAGTGTCAATCCAAATAACTTACCGTGAGGGTAGTCCTGTTTATCATTTTTCTGGAAGTCTTCAGTCCATACAGACTGCAGAATCGAGACTGAGAAAAACCAGGCAAGAAGGGTTAGACAAGACATCTTCAGAACCATACAAATGCAAGGAAGTTAGCGGATGTGGTAGGGAATCAACAGGAGGAAAGATTGTCGATTCCAAAGCAGCAAGACTATCTTTGAGTGGGTTTCAAAAGGAAAAAAATCCTGAAACTGATACTCAGCTGATTGTAAGTGATGCTGACAATAGCAGCTCTGTATTGGACAAGCAGAGCACAATTGATTCAGATCGGATAAGAGGATCAGGGGTTGGAGAAGATGAAGAGGTTTCAAAGTCATCAGCAGCATTTAGATATTCATCATATGGTGAACCATCACTAACCAATCCTAGAGTTCGTGGTCCACCAGATTTTTCAAGAGAATCAACAAATTTGTTGACAGAGAAACATAATGAATCTACCTTGTCCTTCAAGACACCATTAAAACGTCATAAAGTTTCAGTGTACAATGGAGATTTAACTAAGGTTAAGGTTGATGCAGTTGTTTGTGCTACCAACTCTTACCTAGCACCTGGTGGTGGTGTTTCAAAGGCCATTGCCGAAGCTGGAGGATATAAAGTGAAAGAAGATGCACGGCAATACGTTGATAAAAATGGTCCTCTTTCCACATCTGGAGTCATCCATACCAGAGGAGGTCGTCTACCATCTAAATATGTAATTCATGCTGTTGGGCCTGAGTGGAAGAAATACAAAAGTGAAAAAAACTGCTTGAAAACCTTAAAAGAAACGTTCCTCAATTGTTTTAGGTATGCAGAGAAAGACCTTGAGGTTACACAGATAGCACTACCTCTTATTAGTTCAGGTAAGTTTTAACCTTACCTATTTTATTGAAAACAATTTGTTTGTGTTTTTTTATGTGTTATTCATTATTTTTATTTCTTCATCAGGACTATTTGGTGTGCCAATTGAAATGTGCTCCAATTCTTTGTTTGAGGCATTAATGGAATTTGACCGTGAAGCTTGTCGGAAACTGGACATACACATTGTTGATATAAAGGTTGAGTCAGTGAAGCTTCTTCAGAGTCTCTTCGGTGGCTTCCTCAAGTCTTATTCTATTCCATTTGATAAGAAAGAAATTGACCCATCACCATTCAGAAGTGCCACCATACAGAGAAGTGATGTCAGCAGTGGTGCAAGTTCTGACTATGCACTGTCATCTCCGAATCTCTCCAGATATAATAGAGCTATGTTGACATTTAAGACACCATCAAAACATCATAAAGTTTCAGTTTACAGCGGAGATTTAACTAAAATTAAAGCTGATGCTATTGTTAATGCTGCCAACTCCTACCTGGCACATATTGGTGGAGTTGCGAAGGCTATTGCTGAAGTTGGAGGATATCAAGTAAAAGAGGAATCTGATAATTACATCAAGAGAAATGGTCCTCTTTACCCATCTGAAGTCACTTATACCAGAGGAGGGAATCTGCCGTCTAGATATGTAATTCATGCTGTTGGACCTGTGTGGAAAGAGTACAAAAACAAAAGAGAATGTGTGAACACCTTGAAAGAAACTTTTATAAATTGTTTTCGTTATGCAGAAAAAGACCTGTATCTAACGCACATAGCCCTTCCACTCATTAGTTCAGGTAAACATTCCTTACTAATGTAATAGAAATGTTCTCAGTTTATATGCAGTATTATATATTTATATATACATAACAATATATACATACATATACATACAAATATATATACAGTTGCCAAGTATGCTATTTATGATATATTTGACATTTGCTTGAGTATAGATGTGTATAAGAGACAGGGCTGAGGTAAACCCAGAATTCATACCTGACAATTTTGACAATTTAGTCAAATTTATTGAGAAGGATTTTGGAGTGTCAATCCAAATAACTTACAGTGATGGTAGTCCTGTTTATCATTTTTCTGGAAGTCTTCAGTCCATACAGACTGCAGAATCGTTTTTTAAAAAACTGAGAAAAACCAGGCAAGAAGGGTTAGACAAGACATCTTCAGAACCATACAAATGCAAGTACTGTATATATATAATTATTCATTAATTTTATTTTCTTAACAGGAATATTTGGAGTGCCAACAGATAAATGTGTCAAAGCTTTGTATGATGCATTAATGGAATTTGACCAACAGCTTAGTCGACAACTAGACATACACATTGTTGATACAAGTTCTGAGTATTTACAGACACTACTATGTGAACACCTCAGATTGAATTCAGTTCCATTTGAAAAGAAAGAAAGTGAAACATCGCCTCCCAGAAGTACTGTATACAGTAGTGATGTTACCGATTGTGCAAGAAATGGTTATGCACAGTCCTATTATGCAGATTCTTCTCGTTCAATATCTAAGAAACACACCCCTGTTGTGAAGGATTTTCAAGTTGAAGGTGTGAAGAAGACAAATTTCTCCTTCAGAAAAGGGGATAGTGCACCGACAATTTCTTTGTTGAATACCACTTCAGATACGGCACGTAGACAATACAAAGAGACTAGCCATGACAGTAATTCTGGTATTAGAAACCATGAAAAAGCTGGTCCAATGAAAGCAGTCCTGAGTAACCAAGAAGCATTAGTGAAAGCCAAACTAGAAGAGTTTGAACGCAAAGGTTGCCCGCCAAATGAATTTCGAGAAATGCAGTACTTTCTTGATAAAGTTTATCCAATAGTATTAAAAAAAGGCAAATTATTTAAGAACCAAGACAAACCTTCTAGTCAAAGAGCAGATTCAATGGGTTCACCATCTAGTGAGAGACAGTCAAGGCGTGATTCTAAAAATATTGTGAATAAAGAAGGCTCAAGTTCAAGGAGGAGTCAAAGTTTAGATAGTCGTCGTCCACTTGATAGAAGTGAAAAAGTAACTGCAAAGGATTTGAATAAGAATTTGGATATGACCTCTAAACAAGAATCAGGTTTTGCCAGAGATAGTTCCAGACATCAAAGGAGTGATTCTAGCAAAAGTAAGAATAAAGGAGGTTCGAGTTATAGAAGTCAAAGTGTTGATAGACGAGGTGAAAGTGATAGGATAAACACAACAGATTTTGATAGACGTTTATATAAGAATTTTGAACAAGAAACTGGTTACACTGGAAATAATTTCAGACAGCCAAGGAGTGATTCCAGAAATAATGGTGGCTCAAGTCATAGAAGAAGTCAAAGTTTAGATAGACATCATCAGCAAGATAGAAATGAAAAGGTAAACACAAGGAATTTTGAAAGGAATTTGAATATTAATTCTGAACAAGAAGCAAGTTTTCCTACAAGTAGTGTCAGACAATCAAGGAGTGATTCTAGCAAAAATAAGAAACGGGAAAGCTGGAGTTTGGATATAGTTCATCAAAAGAACGTAGGAGAGATAGTTGAGAAAACAGATACTGGTAGGGATGTTGCTGTGACTTCTCAACACAAGTCATACATAACCAAATGTTGTCAGTGTAATGGACGAGAAAAACTTACCCAACGCAAAGATTGTGAACATATGATTTGTCAAAAATGTCGATCTATGGGATATAAAAGAAATTGCAGGTTTTGTGAACGTTATAAGACTGCAAATGGTGTTTTGAATGGAAGTAAAACAACAAAAGGAGTTTCCCCATCTGCTGAAGACAAAAGAGACATTAAGCTTGCCCCAAAATTTGAATCACCAATTGACTCAATCAATGTGTTAAAGGACACCGATGCAAGAAGGCGGCGGAGAGAAAAACAAAGCTTGAACCAAACTCCAAGGACTGAGTCACCATCACCAAGGGAGTATGCTGGGGCTTCCACTTTTGATGAAATCCGAAGACAATCTCCAAGCAAGGAAGACAATTACAAAGATATCTTCACACAACCACGACAAGTAGCAGGAGATTGTCCGATTTGTATGGGGGACTTCGAAGACCCTGTGGCGTTACACAAATGTGATCATATTTTCTGTAGAAAATGTATTCAACATGCGTTTGAGGTAAGACTTCAGGCTTATAACCAGGATTTCTTGTAAGGGTCTTCTATTCGAACTACAGTTCACGTAGGCGCCTTGGTGCACTTGGGAGAAGAGCCCTTATGGGGTCTAGGGTAATCAAGTTGGAGCATTCTAGCATGTAAATAGTGAATTTTATCATCATTTCGATGGTTTTTGATGTAAAGGGAGGTGGTTTCGTATATTAGAGGGGCCTATTGTCTGACTATCCAATACCAGTATATTATTTCAACTTACACTATTTAATTGTTCAGTTTACACAGTGTTGTCCATATTATTGATAAACTGGTTAAATGGTTAATCTGCATACACTGTAACAATGTTTCAAAAATAATAGAACATAATACAGAAATGTTATGACAGGTTATCATTGATTTTAACATGCATCATTTACTTTTTAATTTCGTCTTGATTTTTATTCGTAATCAATCTACTTCTTAACCATTCTTTTGCTTTTCAATTCAAGATTAAGCTTGCTTGTCCAATATGCGGCTACCTCTATGGGAGTTTAGTTGGTGATCAACCAGATGGAACGATGGAAGTTCGAACAAAGTCACTTACTCAAAGTTTACCGGGTTATCCGAATGTTGGGATAATTTCCATTACATATGATATTCCCTCCGGAATTCAGAATGTAAGAAATTATTGTTCCCTGCCACTCAGATTTGTTGTGAGCTGACTCATTCTTCTTTATCAAATCGCTAAATTCTAAAATCTAACCATCTTAACAGGCTTAAATTGCGACCATTTGATGTTTTATGAAGTTCAACAATTCCATTAAACCTATTACAAAGTTCCTTTAAGAAAATAAAAACATTTCTGGTGGAACTCGAACCTACAATCACACACTCACGATATTGTTACAGATCTAAGACCACAAGTCACTCTTCCTTCATACAACTTGAGGGGCTCACACATATTTATGTATGTAATATACATTTCTTACATATAGGCCTATGCATATATAATTTCTTACATATAGGCCTATGCATATATATGTGTAAATGTATGTATGTGGGTATGCATGCATGCATTTGTATGTATATTCTAAGAAACTTCATGGACACACCTCAGTCTAAAGCTGCCGTTTAGGCTGTTCTTGCGTAATAGGCCTAACACATGTTCTGTATCATTTTAACAGGAGCTGCATCCAAATCCAGGGGCAGAATACAAGGGTACATTACGAAGGGCCTACTTGCCTGATAATGATGAAGGTCAAGACATTTGTAGATTGTTGAAGAAAGCATTTGATGCGAAACTTACGTTCACAGTTGGTCGGTCTGTAACAACAGGTCAAAACGACACTGTAACCTGGAATGACATTCATCACAAGACTCGTACGACAGGTGGCCCGTCACAGTAAGTTTCCCAAAAAATTATTCTTTCATATCTTTTTGAAATGTGTCATTGTGTGATTACAAACCTATTAATTTAATTATGCTTAAAAATAAGACATTGCTTTTTTTTTTTTCCGGCATTTCAATTGTTCTGTATATCGTACAGGATATGTGTTTTATGTAAATGAAAAATTAAATCAAAAATGAGCTTCCTAACTATTTGTCGTAATTAATTGCATTTCAAAAGTGCATAATAATGTGCGAGTCAAAACAAAAAATAATAACACAATTTTTTTTTTTATTCACTATGCTATACCATCTTTAAATCCACATCTTTTCAGAAGAAACAAAATCTGTATCCATATGAAAAAAAGGTTAACATTTTGTTTATATTTCACATAATTACCTCTTACCTCTTAGACATGACAAATTTCCATGGAGCTAGTCTCAAATTTAAACTACGATCAAATACATTAGCACTTGGTAAACGTACTAACAAATGGTGTATAGACACTGACACCCAATGCGAGATCTGTGGTTCTGGAGAGGAAGATACTAAACATTTTCTTTTTGTGTGTAATCCCTTAGAATGTATCAGATCTGAAGAATTAATTAAGTTGAAAAATGATTTAACTTCTATTAACTGTGTTAATGTCTGGATAAACTTTTCATCCCGTGATCTATGTACAAAACTTCAATACGTCTTAGCAAGCCTTGATTTTTTTTTCAATAATATTTACCCTGAACACATGTTTAATAACGATATTGCCCTCTTATTTGATAAATTCTGTAAATCGTACGCTTGTCGGGCATGGAAATTAAGAAGTGTACTTTTATTGGAGAAAGAATAGCAATGTTCTGAGAGGTACGCGTGACCATTTCACCACTCTTTTAAATTGTACTGTTCTTCCTTTGCTGTTGCGTTTCTGATTGACTGTGTATGATTTTATGTATTCTTTTTGTATTTTATTTACTTTCGCAGCTTGCATGTGTGTATATATGTATATATATTTACAGTTTGTGTGTATGTATGTTTATGTATGTATTTGGGTATGTGGGTATGTAATACTACTTATTATTATTATTCGGAATTTTTTTTTTTAAATTATTTTATTTATTTTTTTTTTTTTAAGGGAACGAATGATTATTGGGTAATGTGGTTTTTTTTTTTTTTTTTGTTGTCTGTTTTCGGGATTGGAAAGGGAAGGGAGGGGTAATTAAAACTTTGATTTCGGGATTGGAAAAGGGAAGGGAAGGGTAATTAAGACCTTGATTTTTACTTTTTGTTAAGCTCATTTACTTTTACTTTTGATCTGTCATGTTTTGCTTTTGTTTGTTTTCTTATATTTTTCTTGGACGCACAGTTTTTTACATGTGCCACTGTTGTAAAAGTGTAGCTTCTAAATAAAGAATAAAGAATATGGTCTTTAAAAAAAGAAGGAATGCATGTATTCTAAGAAATCTCTAAAGTGCTGCCCTAGGCATAATTTCTCAGATTTTTTGTTGTCTGTTTCACTATTATAAATGTTTTCTATCCATTTCTCTTATTCAATTTATATGTCTTTTTTAGTTGGTTGATTGAGTGTTAATCAAACCCAACAATCCGACCAATCGGATTATGCGATTCAATGCACAGGGCCATGAAGGAAGAGCATGTCGCACAATCCATATTCATTAATGCACAGCTCTGCACAATGTTGTTTTGTGGTAACATAGCAACAAATATCCAATAGGTGGGCTTAGTGGAAAGGGCAATTAGCAGCGAGATACTAAATAATTATTTGTCAACTTCATTGTTTATTATTAGATTTGGCTACCCAGATGATTCTTATCTACAACGTGTGAGGGAGGAGCTGGCTGCCAAAGGCATACGCTGAGTTCTATAAAATATGATTACTGTAACATATGTACAAGTAATATTGATGTTATGATAGTGTAAAACATAATATTTTTTTTTAATCAATAAGATCTTTTGGAAAATTGATATCGATATTTTTATGAGTGTGTGAAAAAACCAGTACAACAAGAAATTGATGATGTAAAAATTGATTATATAGATTGATCTAAAATGACAATAACATTGTTATGGACCCTGTAAAGAAATGTGATTTCAGTCATATGATTTGCATGTGTTGTTAGTAATGTGTTCTGTAAATAATATTTGGGGCCAGCAAATCTGAGCTTCACTTTTACTGAAGTCAAAGACTTTCATGTGTATAATTCGGTTATTTGTGGAGAAATTGTATATTGAAAATCTAAAGATGACTGTAGCCTTCCTTATGAATGTAAGTATGACAAAATGTAAGTACAAACCATGATTTTTGTGGACTATGATGATCAAATGCAATAGTAGATATACTATTTTTTGTTTTACTACTTTGGGCAGACGAAACCTTCTGGTCACGCTAGTTTTTGTAATTTTTTGACCGCTTTTACCTTAATGATAGAAGTGCCTTTCTAGCTTAGGTGCCTCCCTCAGTAAATGCCGTACCATTAATGATTTAAGCGTTGCCCGATCAAGTTTGAATTGTCTCGGTGCTTAATCGAGATTACATACCAAATACGCTTTCTGTTGTGTTAAATCGCTGTGGTGTTAATTGGATGTACGATATTTGTAGTTTTAATTTGGAGAAATAATTTGTGTCTCAGAACCTATGTAAGGTAGGTAAAGGTCGAGACCTGATGCTGCTCTGGCCCATTTGGGCCATGCAAGACTGTTGGGGGTGGGGATTTTTCCACTCCTCCACAGTGATCTGTTTTACCTTCCAACATAGGTAGGTACCCATTTATACTCCTGGATAAAGACAAATGTAGGAGAGTACCCAAGGACACAAGCGCCTTGCATAGCGAGAGTTTCAAACCCCCGACCTTAAGGCTGAGAGTCCGAGCCACAACCGTTGTGCCAATCGCTCTACAGCCATGTAAATAGAATCATAATTCCCTCCAGAAAATACAAAGCACTGAAATATATTATTTTGCTTGGTTTTTGTGTTGTGTTTTATATTATAAAGGTCTCCCTCTAATTAAATACCCCATCAAATAAAGGCCACTTCCAATTAAAGACCAATTTTCTATGGTCCCAAATTTACACGTCTTTTATCTTTATTATTCTAATTAGCGACCAAAGCTGCTAAAGACCATGGGAACCTCAGTCCCAAAAGTGTGCTCTTTAATTGGAGTGAGACCTGTACAGGTACTTGAATACCAGACAATTATTTTGCTTAAAGTCATTATACTCTCTGTATAATAAAGTAATGTAGTTTATTTTATTCAAACAGTTTCTTTCTACATTTGTTTTTATTCGTAAGGAGATTACTTGATGAACCCTTTATACATGGTATTTTCTTACACACCACCACCACCAAGAACAACAAAACATCTTTGGATGTGCACGTGTATATATATATATAAGATGTGTATAAGAGACAGAAGTCACTCTTCCTTCATACAACTTGAGGGGCTCACACATATTTATGTATGTAATATACATTTCTTACATATAGGCCTATGCATATATAATTTCTTACATATAGGCCTATGCATATATATGTGTAAATGTATGTATGTGGGTATGCATGCATGCATTTGTATGTATATTCTAAGAAACTTCATGGACACACCTCAGTCTAAAGCTGCCGTTTAGGCTGTTCTTGCGTAATAGGCCTAACACCTGTCTCTTATACACATCTAGATGTGTATAAGAGACAGGCAGAATACAGTGGCTTCACAACTTGTCAATTCTTTTGGGAATCATTTCGACACTAAGCAACCACCAAACACAGTGCACAAGAGATTCTCCTATGTTAATACGGAAACTTTATCTCAATAAAGTCAATGATTATGACGACCAGATATTCACAGCAGGGAATCGTTAAATATAATAATAATACTAATAGACGGTTGTAGTCAGTGATGTTTCCACGTATGTCTTGATGGTATAGAATAAAACTGTAGTTAAAATAAACATCAGACACTTTGATATAATTTGAGACTTATATATTTATTTTAAAAAATTTTCGGCATCGCCTTTTGCCTTTTTCAGCGTACGAGTGTATAAAAGTTAAAGATGACAATCTTTATGTTTTATTATAACTGCAGTTTGACACTTTAACACCACTGTTGAAAATTGCCCTGAGCGGAGTTAATATACACCATATAAAATATACACCTAATAAGATAGGTTTATCACAAAAACATTTTGAGAAAAAATTAAACAGATTTCCTCAAACTTTTATTTACAAAAAGTGCACTTAAACTATATACATACAAAAGTTCATATTTGAGCAAAGTAAAACGCTTTCATTTCCAGAGCACATAAATTATTCGTTAATAGTCTTGTGGAATATTTTTTTTTTGTTATTTCATAACATCAACATTTTCTTTTGTGATATAAAAAAAATTATCTGAATAAATATAAATCTTAAAATTAATTATATGTTGAAAAGTTGGCTGATTATTATGCAAGAGCTTAGCAAAAACGCGTTAAAGAGACCGTTCGACGACATAAATGTAACAGCAGATGACGGAAGTACGTCAACAACATCAATCTTCCAACCGAGAAAACGGTGTGTGTAACACTGGAATTAAATAACAACAAAATATAGTTTAAGTTTTGTCCTAATTTTATTACGTATTCATATTTATGTACCGGTATGCGTTTACAGCTGATGACAAATCTAGGTGTTATGATATGCCTTTGCTATGGTAATAAACCTTTCTGTGGTGTCACTCAAAAAATAATATTACAATCAAGTTTAACAACTTCAGATTCGGACAGAGTAAGTCTATGCATCGATAATATAAAGTGAATTATTTACTTAGACTTTAAACTTTACTCTCCGTCAAACGCATGAGAAATAGGCCTTGGGAATAGCAGTATCATCTGCAGTGCGCCATCAATATCTATATACTGTATTCATGATGTTTATGATCTTTTTGTATTAGTTTTTCTTAAAATTTATAAAAAGCATTCAGGAATTTGTCTAAACTCGGTTCATGCGTCGGGAAAACAAAAATAGGAGAGGGGCTTCATTACGTCATCAGTATTGAGTCTAGCGATTGGAATAGGAACGTCATAATAGCGACAGTGAGGTGATTTTATTGAAAAATAGGCTTTACCTGATAGTATACGGTGCCCGGTGTGTTGTCGTCAGGTGTCCAGGTGAGTATTGCCGGTTCCTTTGGTGAAAGACATTGCTCTGCAAGCGTCTTTCTGTATCCTTCGGCCGATGTTGAAGTCATGCTTTGGTCTCCATTCTTGTCGTTCAATTCACAGAGAGATCCGTCTAAGGAACGTGAAATGATTACGTCATTAGAACAAGCATTTTTGTGACCAACAGTAAGGTTCAATAGAGCAGGAGTATGCATGTTAAAGTAATTGAGTTAAAGCCAATGCAATACTTAAAGTAAAAGAAGTGATTGCTACTTACTTACTGGTCCGGCGTATATAACGTGGTTCTACAAGAAATAAACAATTTAATTTTAACAGCATCTATTCATTCAGGCAATTTTGTGAACAGAAAAATTCGATGATCATGCTAATTTTCCCACAAGGGAACGTATTTTGGATATATGGAAGTCAGCCGGCCGACATAAAAATGTTTCAGACGGCTCTTGCCCTACTGCTTTACGCTTACTGCGCAATTATTGAGAACGAAGAACGTGCAAAACTGAAATATTTACCTCTAATTTAAAAAGGAAGGCGAATAATTACTGATCGTTTATGATTAGTAGATTGAAGCTGACGCCACGCACTAGCAAACTTGAGTCCTATGTAACGCTTGGTTCAAAAAGCAAGCGGGACATTTTCTGAGTAGCGGCCTATTTTAGCTATAGGATTATGAGCATGTAGGCTATTTTCCAATACAAAAACACACACACGTTTAGGTATGTATATGCTCTGGTTTTTTTTTTTTTTTTAGAACCTAACAATAATTATCTGGAGTCTTGAAATGGGGAGGGCTGAAGGGGAGCGCGAAGGTGAAGTGGGGTAGGGGTTTATGATTACGTGAGTAGGAGCTAGCTAGCTCGCAAAATAAGGTGATTTTTAACGACTTGAGCGTGATTTTTGGGGGCGTTTGGGGGGGGGGAGAGGTGGAAGTGTGCGCACCCCTGGATACGCCACTGGTCAGTTTAGATACCATAACATCGAGGTAAAAATTGCAAATCTATGTTTTAATAAGCCGATTCGTAGGCTGAACGGCGTGTACCCGTATATAAGGTCAATATGGGTCAATGGACATAAACTTATGTTGTGTGTATGTTTTACGTCGATTGACCTTAATACAGGCATGCGCAGTTCAAACTACGAATTGGCTTATCAAATTTTGTTAGGTTTGTTTCTAATTTTACCCCCCCCCCCCCAAAAAATCATTATTTGAAAGATAAATAATTCGTTTTTCTACCAATTTCTCCATTTCTGTCAGTGATGCGTAGCCTCCACCTTTGTCGTTTGTGATATAGAAGGGATGATAGGAGGCAGATCGAGTCGCATCATTGCCGCCAAAAACCTTAAACGTGTACTTGGTTCCCCGCTTTAATATGAGTCTTGGGATTAGCATGTCGTTTATGTACCAAGATATTCCCCAACCGACATTATCTGCGAAATAGGTATAATATTTTAAACACAAATTGATAGTGTTGTTGTATAGTTAAAGTAAAGAATACCATGAAGGGATTATAAATAACATTCGGAAAGGGAATGGAAAACATAAGGAAAAGTGATGGGAAAACCTTTACAGACGTTAAGAAGGGTGAGAAAATGGAGAAAGGATGAGTAAACATTGAGAGTGATGGGAAACATAAATAATGAATTACACAAAATGAAAAATAGTAGATAAAATGGATAGGAAAACATTAAAAATGTGGAATAGAAGCGTGTGGAAGGTGGCAAATTTTATTTTTAGAAATGGATGTCGCTTACCGGTGATACTGGTATATCCTCTCTCTCCTCCGGACTGACCAATGACGGCCGTGAATTCGGTGGTATCCTTGTTACCAATTAGTTGTAATTCTTTCCATCCGTTTACCTCTTCAATTCCATCGGCAAGCGATTCACAGTTCCTCAATGCGTTACGACCGAACATTACCGTTCCACCACCTATTAAAGCATGATTAAAGCAACCATTTTGCGTGAATTGGATTGGGATACGATTTCTTCGGTGTGAAATATACTAAAGTTAGCCCACGAAAGTCCTTAAGGTTTATATCCAGTGGAGTTGTTCAGGTGGTGAGTTGGATAGTACACCGGGAGACTGCATTCTTTCACGTGTACATGAGCCATATTGCGCACGGGATAAACGGCTTAAACGTCTCATCCGAAAGACGTTACGGTGTTGAAGTTTGCATTAAGGCCATTTTACTGAAACAGCAAGGAGAGCATCGGGGGAATTGAACAGAGGTCCAAGATCGCCATGGTTCAGTGCACACATAGTGGC